GTTTCCCCGCCCGCCTGCTTGCCACCTCTGCTTGTGCTCTCGCCCAGCCTAGCCAACACGGCGACCGTGAACCGTTGCCATCCTGCCTCTCTCAACCTCAGTCCTTCCCCCGCCCCTCAGAGACCCGCGATCGTCTTGTTTATTCTGCTACATCATCTGAACAGCATGTAGGACACAACCGGGCCTAGAGTAAATGTGCCTACTCCATCACGCGTTTCAAACTAGCGGGTCTGCGCGTTTGCCGGCCTGAATATCGGATGATGGGAAAAGCACTTCGCCCCCCCCCCCCCCCCCCTCTGTTTTTTTTTTGTTCTGCGGTAACCGTAATGGTGGTCGAGTAGATCAAAGCACCAGAAAATAAAATAAGTCATACGCAGCTGTCATTCGTACGCCAGGAAGTAAGAAGTAAGCACAAGATGCCGAACACCCTTGGTAGGATGCAGCGCACCCTTCATGCGACTCGCCGAATACCTCACGGTGCTTCGCGCTTGGTGATGTGAGAGCCTGGTCCGGTGAGAACCCGGCGTGCTCCGTCCGGGCTTTGTAGGGATGCGAGGTCAATGGTCTAACGACTATGGCGTGCACGACTATGAGTACCCCCCCCCTCCCTCCCCCCCTACCGTTGATTAGTGCGGTGCCTACTCTCACGACTTTTTTTTCGACACGTCAAACATGTCACGGCGAGACGGTGTTACCATTCGACCGCTCGCGTTTGACGATCGATCGATGCTTCCATAAGGCACATACTCTTTTTCTACCAGCCCAGGCGTCTTGTAGCTGTCGCTGAGAGAGCACTTGCAACGGAACAGGAACAGCTTCCATCAACGGAAAACACCCCTTCCGACGCAGACAATCATGTTGTGCTTGTTGTATTGTCCGAGCCGAAATCGCCAAACGCCCGCGCTGCGTTTTCTGACTCTCTCTCTCTCTCTCTCCCTCTCCCTCTCTTTCTCTCTTCCCAGGAGCGGTGTATGAAGAGCATCCACTGCCGCAAATGGAGCCGCAGCGCCGACGTGCGCCTGGAGGAGCACCACCTCCGACAGATAGCCAAGGCCGCAAAGCAAGCCTCGAAACGGAAGCGGGAGTTTCTGCCGCCGCTTGCCCCGCCTGGCCAATAGCGGCGGGGGCGTCAACAGTAGTGGTGAGGGAGTGCGAGATCACGGCGCGCGGGGGGGGGGCGGCGGCTGCCTCTGCGACCAAAGGGCGTGTCCACAGCGCGGGCGTCATAGTTGCCGTAGGTGGCGGTGGCGACAGCGGTAGTTGTTGCGCCGGGGGTGGTGCCGCTGTGTAAAAGGGGGGTAAGAGGCGGTACGAGCAGCTCATTTTGAGCCTCCTTTGAGCCTCTTGGCGATAAGGCATCCGTCCGTCGAGACGGGGCGTGGCGGCACTTTGGAGTGCTGCTGCTGCCCCCTTGGCTGTAACAATCGTCTCCGTCCTGCGTGCGCGGCCGTTCGTGGACTATCGAAATTGAAGATTCCTCGCACTATTCACGGGGACGAGCATAAACGAGAACAACGGAAGTGGTAGAGGTTCATCATATGTTGGCGCGTTGAGCACGCCGCGGGCCAGGGAGAGAAGAGTATCGACAGGGGGGTAGAGCAAGCGGGCGCAAGGTGGCAGACTAGCCGCGTATTCTGCAGTCACATTGATGTATGTGATGCCAAAGGGGTGTTGTCATGTGTCGTTTGTGTTTTGTGCCGCAAGCCCTGAGAAAAAGTGAGAGTATGTTGTTGTTGTTGTGTTGTGTTGTGTGGTGTGGTGTGGTGTGGCATGGTGTCGTGTAGTTTCGGTTCGTTTGGTTTAGGTATTCTAGCGGGGGTGTGAATGGTGTGGTGATGGTGTGTATTTGTGTTTCCCTTTGACTCCGTGCGTCTTTGTACAGAACGTACTGTTACTGTAGTAAAAAAAACTCTAATTCTAAGCCACAGTCTAGAGCTTCGTTTTTCGGGACGACACGTCGCAGTCGCGAGGGCTGGAAAACAATGCAATGGGTAGGAAAAGCGTGTGGTCAAAGGGTTTGCTATTTATTCTTGTGTTTGCTTGCCTTGTACAGATAAAATGCGTTTTTTCGTTTGTTTATGTGGCCTGGTGGCACTTGTTGCTTCGCGTTTGTTGGCATTTTTTACGTTTTTACCCTCGGGGGTGCGGTCTCCACATTTTGTAGCTTGCTGATTGGTCTCTAGTGTATGTTTCACGCGTACATGTCGAAGTTGCCGCGCGAGTCTTGTTCTGGCCGCGCTTGCTGTTTCGCCGAAAGTGTTGTAGGTGTAGACGAAAGAGAGAAGAAGATGGGGGGCGTCGGTAGTTCATGACAGAGGGAGGAAGGGGTCACGTCGTCAATTTCGGTGACGTCTGGTCCATTTTCGGATGTTTTGATTTCGTCGGTCTCGACGTTGCGTGCGCTGTCCTAACCTTCATTTGTACATTCACTCTATATTTAGCACGTTATTTACTCATCACCCGGGCGATTTTTTTGCCGGTACGAAAATTAAAATTTCGAGCTGCTTGTCATATCAACGCAAGCCGTAGACCTGTGTGCTTGTTCGTTTTTGTTGTTCTCGGTCTTTGCCCCCCCCCCAGTCCTTCACGTCTTTACGGGCTTACATTTTTGTGGTTCTGATGGTGAAGGCGTTTCTATTGATGGCGCCCTTCTGTCTTTCTGTCTTGCGTCGCGCTTGCTGTTTTGTGCCCGTGTCAGAGTTTTATCTCTCTTGGTGGTGCTTTCCGCCGCGTTGACTAAAATGCACACATGGCATCAAGAAAGCGTTAAATACCCGGTCGAGATGGCACCCGTTCTGACGGATGTGTTCAGAGGTCTTTCCAGGGAGGGCTTCTTGTTCGGGGGCAGTCACGCCGCGTGCGTTTGAATACCCGTGAAGTTCCCACACTCTATCTACTGCATGTGTAGGGCGTCGTAAAAAAGAGATCAACCGGTGGTCATGTGACCGTGACGCGACTCTTCTCCATCGAGACCAGCTTCCGACAAGAAACTGCTCTCATCTCGCTCGAGGCCAGCTTAGGACAAGAAACTGCTCCGAGGCCAGCTTCGGACAAGAAACTGCTCTCTTCTCCCTCGAGACCAGTTTCGGACACAGAAACTGCGGGTGAAAATGTTGAGCAGGGAGGGTACCTCGTACAGCCGTCCGCGGTGTTTGTTGTCGGGCGGGGGACGAAAACCAACCACGGCTGTTGCCTGCTGCACGGCAGAGCCGCACGCGATTCAAGCCAGAGAGAGGCGCTACGCTACCAAAGGGTTCTCATCGGATTACTATTCGACCAAAGGGAGTTTCCTTTCAAAATATTTGACCAATCAGAATACTGCGGGCACCTTTTCTCTCTCTCTCTTTGCTGTACGTCATTTCGTGCAGATTTTCTGGTTCGTGGAAATGCCCTTGTCGGTCTACGTGGCGATACTCAGGGACGTCACTTTTCAGAAGATTATGCTTGGCACCGAGGATGATCATAACGAAGTCGCCATGCTTCACACGGCGGTGGTGCTTTCGGGCGACACGGGAGAATGGGTCCATCTAAAGTAGAAAGATGACTGTCTATCCTGTGTCGTGTTTCTATTTGTGATTTTCGTTTTTTTGCTCTAGGCTAAACGTTTCGTTCATACATACGCTCCGTGTTCATTCAGGGTATCTAAGCAAATATTCCTACAGACAAGTTGACCCGGTGCAAAACTCAACCGGAACGAAACAGAAAGGAGCACGACCACACAAAGACACTGCTGTCGAGTGCATACTACGACGGAGCCCCTAATACCGCGGCAGGATTCCCCCGGCCCTCTGCTACTCGTCCTCCTACAGTCATCCCCTCGCGCACGCCCTTGGCCTCTTCTACAATGGCCAACGCCCCTCCGAGAGCGCCAGACTCCCGCCTCGGGGTAGGGCCTGTGCTTCCGGCGGCAGCGGTGGCTGTGCCCGTGAGAAAATCTTCCTCGCTGCTGCTAGCGGCGAATGTCAGGGCCTCCGATAACCTCTTGGCCGACTTGAACGGCTCAGAGTCGGAGCCGACGATGCGCGGCGAGCGCGGCGTTCGGGGAGTGAGCACTAAGCGATCCAATGCAATCGCCGCGGCTGCAGTCGAACTCCTCCGTATTGCTGGGCTGGTGGAGCTGCCGCTCTGTCGGATCCCCTTTTCGCTTGCCCCGCCTTCTACCGCAACAAGATGAGGTGAGCCCGGACCCGTCTCCTTCGACGAAACTTCTGTCTCAGCTCCGTCTCCTTGTCTTCTTCTGGTGGGTGATGTTCCGGCTTCTGTCGGCGACGCTTCGTGAAGCGCCACGTTAGACTCAGTGGTGTCTGCTGGTGCCGACACCGCTGTGCTCTCGTCGACCCCTGGTGGTTGACTTCGTGCGGGTCGAGGGGTCCCTTCTCCCATGTCTTCGTAGCCCTTATCCGTCACACCGGTGTTACTACTCCCTCTTCTCCGCATGGAATCGCTCTCTTCGGTTGTCGCCGCCGCCACCGCCGCCGTCATCCCCTCGCCCTCGGACTCGCCCCCGTCCGGACACCCGCTGGCCTCTGCGCTGCTGCTGCCGCTCACACGCTTCAGTCTCGTGGACCTGTGAGCCCGCGGGGAGCGCGGAGACTTCGGGCGGGCGGGCGCGGCAAGGCAGTTGTCGCTGCGATCGACGCTGTCGGTTTCGTGATCACCGCCACCGTCGGCGCCGTCGTCGCCCTCCTCTGACTTCCGAAACCCCGTACCCCGACTACTCCGTTTTCTGTCTCCACCATTACCTACAATACTTGCACCACTATCTCGCGGACTGCTGCTGGAGCACTTGCCTCCATCGCCGGTTTTTCTCCTGTCCCTCCAGCGCGAGCCATGCGAGCTGGACGGTTTGCTGAACGATTCCACCGACGAAAACGATCTGACACTACCGCCACTGGACGCTGAATGCCACTCCGTGGTGCCTTTCTCGTAGTCCGTCGACCGTCGTCGTCTTTCGATCCCGTCGCGGTTGACGTCATTGCTCGATCGCGACCCGTCTTGCGAGTCACCGTCATCACCCTCGCTGCCTCTACCGGCGGGGGGCGTGATCGAACCGCCCGTAGCCCACGACATGACGTTTCGCAGTCCCTTGCTCTGCTGAGGGGAGCCGAATCGGCGCCCGGGGGTGGCGTTTCCGCCCCCGCCGCCTCCGCCACCTCGCGCCCCCCCGCACGCGCAAGGTACCCGCGCCCCACAACGGGGGCAACCCCCGCCTCCGGTGGCCGCCGCCGCCGCCGCCGCCCCCGCGTTTTCCGCCTCGTCCGCTCTCGCCGCCACCGGGATACCGTCAGCCGTTATGCTGATCGCACTTGGGCTCCTTACAGAGCTCCTATCGGCCGTCCTCGTCCTGCCGGCGGCGGCGGCCGCCGCAAACCCACCTTCCCCTCCCCCCGCCGCTGTTTCCATCAGAACAGCAGCAGCCCCTTCGACCCCCTCAACGCTCCCTCCCCGTGCCTCTCCCGGGTGGCTCTTGGAGTCGGCCCGATTCAAGGTGTCCGTAGCGGTCTCGTCTTGAGCACCGGCGGGCAGAGTCCCGCAGCCGTCGGTGACGTCCCGAGGGATCTGAGGATCGTCACCTCCGTGCTCGATGATCGAAGCCACCTTGCGGGTGGTCGTGGATGAGAGAGGGAAGCCGGAGGAGGCCAAAAGGGGTTGGGGACGGCGCGGGGGGGGACAACACAGTAGGCGGTTTGGGCCCCTGGCCGTGGGATAACAAGTTTGTTGACGTTGGCTGGAACCACAGACTAAGCGACGTGTTTGCTGTACCATGCTACGCCGCTACTGCTGTCCCATTGGGTTTTGGGTAGCATGTAGTGGGGTTAACTCCAACAGCGGCCACTATCGATTATGGGTGCGATCCAGCGCATGCCGGTAACATACGGCGAAGTCCGTTGCTTGGTTGCCTCCACCGGCGACACAAACGCACGCACAGGACACATCTCGCAGCAAGGCCGGCCGGTTGCATACATGCTTGCGCTATCCTACGTACCGTAGATACCCCAAAGAGAGCTTCGCGCAGAACCGGGCACTTCTGATCTCCTCACCTGAGCCTCGAGGTCCTTGATGTCGTGCCGTCGTTGGCGCTCCGCCATGTTCATCGGACGGTAGTGCTTCACGAACGAGCTCATGTGCCGGCGCAGCGGCTGACAAGCGAGTGCCTGCGAGGAATAACCCAGCCAACCGGAGTTAAGTTTCAAGACAACGGCCGCAACCGAGCTACGGAACACGACTACTCCTTTGGGCGAGTCTCCTGAAGAACGATATTAAGAAACGACGTCGAATATTGTACCGCCGTTCCTAGCCAATAAGCTCTGCTTTGGGGCAGACGACAAACCAAATCTCTACCCTACCTACCTTCCTCTCTTTCTGGGTACGACTCCAACTTCTTGGACGTCGTCGTCACCCCCATACGCTACTTTCCATGACCACATGAAAACTCAAAAGAAACGGCTTTGCCACATTCCAACAACATAAAGAGCGATTGAGAGCTATGCACTGGTTGGTGCCAGCCGTGAGGCAAGCTGTAAGAATAACGCATGCAAAGAGTCCCCTTCGCCTGGGGTGTGGGAGGGAACAGAAGAAAGTACGTACCAGCCATCTCGTTTGGGTGAGAGGTAGAGGGTTTGGGGTTTGGGTAGAGCACCTGGGTTAGGGTTGGCCGTCGGAGCGGATCCTTTTGCAACATCCAGCGAGCGAGCGCGGTGACCTCGTCGCTGTAAACTTCTGGAAGTGGCGGTGGCGGCGCCTTTATTACCTGGAAAGTATTCGATCGTTTGCGAAGCGCACTTGCTGTCGTTTCTGCCGCCTGGATTGCACTGGCATGCGGCCGCCGATCGAAGGCACTCTCGGTATGGGAGGAGTCTGGTCGTGGTCTTTCAGAGCTACCTCTGTGTGTTGCTCGGCCGCGCAACACGGGGCGGCATCAACGCGGAAGCGAACCAGACAGCACCCGGCACAAAACCGCCCGTCAGGACGGTGCTTTTACAAACGAAGGACGGACGGAAGAAATAAGAAACCCCCTCGCACCTCTTTGTCCTTTACCGCTCAATCAATTTCTATCGACCACGGTGCACGGGTGGCCAGAGGTGTCAGGTTGTGGGAGCACGAATTACAATCTCAACAAGGTTGCACACCACACAGCGGGCAGCTAACCCCGTCATCGCGGATTGCAGCGGTGGTCCAACCAACAGGGCGGGCTGCTGGCAGCACAGGAAAATCACGTAGTTTCAGGTCGATCCCGCCCTCCCAGGGTCCGGCCCAAACCTCCCACAGGTGGTAAACGGCGTCCAACCTGCCAGGTCTGGCCGCCGTCAACTGTGTGGTGGCGTTCCCGGGGGACTTGGTGGTTGCGATGCATTTCGAGAGCGGTGCAATTGGTTGCGAACGCACCTGGGATACTAGCGCCACGACGTCCCTCGATCGGAACGGCACGTCCAGCGAGAGGAGCTCGTAGAGGACGATCCCTAGGCTCCACACGTCGGAGGGGAAGCCGTACGGCTGGTTGTTGCACATTTCCGGAGAGGTGTAGTACGGCGTGCCTACCTGCGGTTAGGTTTAGTGGCGGCGGCACCGGCACCGGCGGTACGGACCGACGACGTGGCGGGAGGTCGTTCAATGATAACGTGTATCAGGGGGGTACTGCCGTGGGTGCGATTGCTTGCCCGCCTGATATGGTGCGAGCCGCGCTCCGAGAACCGGCCATGGTGCTTGATCGTAGTGACGATGGTGGCGGTGGCGGGCTTGGCGGGAAGCGCACCGCGCGTTTCCGTATCCAACTCTTTCGAGAAGCCGCGTGGAACTTGCTTGCTCAGCCACCAAAACCTTGAATTAAGACAGCTGCTGGTAGATAGAGTACACACGTCGCACAGAGCAAAGCCACGGCAACGTTGTACGAAGAGACTGAATCTCGTCGCTCACCTCGGCTTTAACCTGCTTGTCGCCGTCGTTTATGACCTTTGCGAGCCCGAAGTCCCCCAGCTGGACGATCTTCTTGCTGTCCATGAGGAAGACGTTGTTGGGCTTGATGTCTCTGTGCAGCACCTTCTTCTCCTCGTGCAGGTTGTGCACGCCCAGGCACAGCTGTACGAGCGCCGCGTTGTTGGCGTTTTCGGTGGCGGTTCCAAAGAGGGTTCGAGTGGGGCACCGTGTCGTCAATTGTAGGCGGCACAAAAGGGTAGAGAATATCGTTCGGATTGAACAAACGGGTGAGGCACTTTCTCCAATCGGTTCTCTCTGGCAGGTGAGAGTAAAACCCGTCGAAATTACGGGGTATTTCTGGAGGGAGCCGTCCATGTGCTTTCATGGATAGATGTGTGGCCCGGTGCTGAGGCGAGCCCTGGGCTTAAACGGCTTCCCCCCCTAACCTTCCTCCATCTATCGAGCAGGTTCACGTACGGCTCTGGCTTGGGTCGTGATGGGTCGCCTTTGCGAGGTTCACGCTCCCCTTGCCACTGCCAAAGCTACGTCATTCGACCGTTGGGATACTGGGCAGATCTTGTGAAGTATCGCGGTAGACAATGCAACGACCTGAGTGTACGCAGTACTCGTATTCCCGACAACCTACCCAAATGCCTACTTACGCAACAGACCGACCCCCTGAAAACGTGCGTCATCTCCTGCGTGCCAACACTCTTGACGGTGTTGCTGCCGTAGCTACAACCACAGCAAGGGTCAATGTTCCCCGGCGACTGCGTACCTGTGCAAACCATCCCAACACCGTCTTTTCTCCCAGAGGCGATTTAGTCTTGGAAGCGTGCTTCACAATCTTGGCGAGATCCCCCGACTCGCAGTAGGTCGTCGTGAGGCACACCAATCGGCTGTCGGCGCTCAGAAAGACGTCGAACAGCGTCAGCACGCAAGGGTGCTTGAGCCACTTGAGCAAACGGACCTAAACGCGTGCCCCCGCAAGAGGAAGGAAAGGCGCACCACGGCGGGGGGGCGCAAACCACCCGTTCGTCCGGTTCCCCCGGACGAGTGAGTGGGAAAGGGAAACGTCCGTCGTAAAGCCGTTGAAAAGTACAGTTGAAGGTGATGCACAACCGCGAACATTTCCCAATCGAACCCGAAACTCGAACAAAGATCTACAAGCTTGCGATTTGTTCTCCGTTCTGCACACCGCACCATTCTTGTGGGACTTTCTAGAACATTTCTGTGTATGTCAAATCTCGACCAGGCGATAGAAAAAGTTGCTTTTGTGCGCAAACGAGGCTTCCTCACGAGGCAATTTCCGTTCGGATAGGCCACGAGATTTGCGATGGCCACTTGTTCCCTCTGTGCCGGTAACGCAAGGTAAACCTTTGCTATTGGCGCCGAGAACAAACAAAACCGAGTGCGTTTCGAGATAAATAAAACGGTCGAATTGCCCGATATCGTGTGAAAATCTTTATCATGGTCGAGCGGCGAGCATCTATGCAGCGTACGCAAGATATTCGTGGTGGGCACGATTCCGGCAACACGTTTGCTGGACAAGGGGTTTAGCATGGAATTAACAAATAAAGGTGGTCTCTTTGACCGCTATTGATCAGGAAAAGCAGCAGCAGTACTAAGGACGAGGGAAGCCGTGGTATTGACACTAGTCTACCAAACGATACAGACCATAGCAACCAAGTGTCGATGACGGGTATGCTGGAAGTCTCTCTCCTTGCAAAGATCTGCCTGTATTTCTGTAGCGGGCTAAATAAAGCTATGGTGTCATTGGGATCCTTGTGCCACGTCGCCTACAGAAGGAGCGCAAGTCGCCAGAAAGCGCTTCACGAAAACATGAAGCCGTGCACATCGCCGCACCTCAGCCATCGCTGTGACGCGTTCCTCCAATTTATCTGCGCAGTTCAGCGTTTTCATCGCGTACAGCTTGCTGTCTCGGTGGTCCTTCACCAAGGTCACCGCCCCAAAGCTCCCCCTCCCGAGCACGCGCATCTTCTCGTAGCGTCCCGGAACTTCCATGGGGAGCTCCTCTTCCCCCACCTTGAACACCGGAGCGGTGCGCTCCCGCTCACCCCCGCCCCCGCCCCCTCCAGGTCTGCTTGCGTTGCCGCCGCCCGCCCCCCCGGCGTTCGTGCTGATGGCGGGGTCTCGAGGGATTATCGGGCCGTCTCTGCCGTGTCCACCCCGTTCCGCCAAGCTGGGCGTGTCGGAAACGGCCGTGTCTCTGCTCCGACGTAAGGGGTCCCGGTTGTGGGAGAGCCGGCGATCCACGCCGTCGCTGCGTTCGTGCCGTTGTTTGTGTTGGACGCGTAGTGGTTGTGAGATTGTTGTGAGGTGGCTGGTTTTGGTGACGTCTCGAACGTACGGGCCGTATCATCGGGGAAGCAATGGTAGAGCGGGGTATAGCATGCTTTGCACGTTCAGGGGGACAAGTCAGCGTCGTCTGTGGCTGTTTCACGAGCAACCCACCGCTCTCGTCTAGTGCAAGTTGTGAAGGTGGCAAAACGCTCTTGCTCGACAACGTTGTCCTCTAAGGGAACTAACTGTTTTTGTGTCTGCTTTGGGGTCAGGTGCTTGCCGTTCAAGTGTCCACGAGGAGATCTAAGGGAACTAGCTGCTGTTTGTGTGTCTTCTTTGGCGTCAGTCTTGCTTGGTGCTTGCCGTTCAAGTGTCCACGAGGAAATTGCAACAGAGGCGGGAAAGGACGACCTTCTGGTCATACCGAGATCAGTTGTGTACGGCACTTCTTCATGTTAGAGACCAATCGTATCGGTAGTGAATGTCGACGTTCGTCGTTTCCGGCGAGGGCTCAGATTAGTGTCGAAAAATGTATCCAGCCCTGCACGGTTTTATTGACCAGCCAACAGGAGTTCGATCAATGACAGATATTTTTTCAGTCGACATCACCGTATCGATCGCGCAGCACACGGACTGTTATCTTTGGTCCTCACGTGTGTGGCATATTTTCCACCGCCAGGACTCTCCACAAGCGAGAACCAGAAATTTGTAGCCCACAAGTTCACATCATCTTACCCAAATGGCGAATATGGTGTTGTGTTGTAAACAAGCAAGAAGTGAGACACATACCAATGTTTGTAGAAGTACGAATTGATACAAAGAGGAGTAAGTTTAGATGAGAGAAAAGGTTCAATTCTTCACTTCGCCAGAGAGGGAAAAATAGTCACTGCAATTCGTCGGTGTTTGCGGCCTTGATTCACTGGTGGTACGACCACATTGGCTACAAATGGTCTTGTGCGGAATATGTACGCATATGTGCAGCAGACAAAACTGGGCACACAGCGCCTGCGCACCGAAGAAACAACTACTACTTCCTTCGTATGAGTGATTGATTGAGTGCTGCTGTTGGTGACGGCAACGGAGGAAAAAAAAACTGTAGTCTAAGTCGTCGGAAGATGGGACGATATCTGTCGCGATCCAGAACCCTTGAAATAGTGAGGTCGCGACACAACGCTGTTCGCAGCCCACCGGAGGGATCAGGGCCAAGCACAACCCACCATTATCCACGATACTTTCATGCATTGAACTTTATGCATAGTCTCACAACAACAACCTGCTGTTTACCTACCCATGCGACGAACCCATATCCGACATTATTCGCCTATGCCCCCCCCCAACTCCTCCCGCTCCAGCTCCTGCTCCTAGTCTCGAGGCGGTGGTGCCGAGAACATCTCCTCCTTCAGACGCCGCTGCTGAGTCCTCGGCTGCCAACCTTGAAAGCGAAGACAGCGGATGCTCTGGTCGATCGTTGCCGCTGCCGTTCTTGCTGTTCGTCGCGGACCTCGTCACCCCGCGCGACATCGACGTCTTGGTACTTCGCATTTGTTTACTGTCAGCGTCTAATCTTCCTGTCCGTCGGCTTTGCTGGGGAAAGCTGGAGGCGGATTCGCGGCCCCCGCCCCCGCTGTGCTGTTGCGTCAACGTCATGTGCCGACCGAGTCATGGATCGACAAACAGACTCTGGTCGACCCCAGCCGACTTGTTACAGCAGTAGTGCCGCCTCCCTCCTTTGCTGCAGGTTTCGTGGCTCGCGTCGTGACTTACAATGCCGTGCGCACACGTACTCGACTCTTGAGCCCATGCACCCCCTCTCTAGACCACGGCGTATGTATACTGTAAAGTATGTCCTCCTTTTCCAAGAGGATGCACGTGTCGAGAAGGAGAAGGAGAAGGAGAAGGTTGAGATGACGTGTAACGGTCGTTTTAGAACCATCACCCCTACGACGAGCGAAAGCCTGTACGATTCTGCGGCGCCCCCACGTACCTGCTGTTCTGCTGTGTGACGTGTGCCTGCCTGTGGGCACGAAACACAGCACCGAGGGAGGGGCCTTTTACCACCGATCTGCCCCCCGTTCCGCCGCCCTCGGGGTTATCGTGCCCCACCGATACTGTTGGTGCTGTTGGCGGGCGATAGTGCGTGTGTCGACAGAAAACCCAACACAACTTCACAGCTCCAACTTCAAGTCGGCAAACGACTACTGTACTCCTGCCGCCAGGGTGAGAGTGAGCGATTATGTGGGTTGTAGTAGCAGCGTGGGTGCTGTGCTTGGCCTCTCTCTCCCTCCCCTGGCCCGGCTACACCCTCATCGTCCTGCTGTGCTGCGTCGCCTTCTTCGAGCTGGCGAGCCCGGCGGCATGGGTCGCTACCGCGAGAGGTGGGGGGGGCAACAACCCCGCGTCGGCCGGTCGAACACCGTCAACGATAGAGGAGATGTCCGACACACGAAAGGCGACTGCTATTGCTGGGCCGCCGCCGCCGCCGCCGCCGGCTGCTGCCGCCGAAGCTACTGCTGTTGCGTCGTACGCAGGACGCAGCCCTTCGGTGGCCTTCGCGGGCGTGATTCGCTACCTGGCCAGCCACCTGCGGCGCCGAGGCGGGGGCGAGATTGAGGAAGTTGCTACCACGCAGGTGGGGTCCGGGGACGACGGGGATGATCATGCTCTCGGCAAGGAACAGCAGGAGCAGTCGAAAACCGCCAAGGTAAGCCCACGCGGGGCATGTATGCGGCCATCTCTGTGTAGGTACGAAGTACATCGTCGAACCTTTGAGCATTTCAGACCGTGTGGTTGGAAGTCAGACGTTGTCGGTGAAGGGGAGAGACACCCCGGGTGTGTGCGGTGCGATCCGCCTCTGAAAGAGGCTGCTCTTTGATTCGGAACCCGGAACCTATGTTATACCTACACCTCAGCCGGTCTTCCACAGCGCGGCCTTTCCTCGCACGACGCCAGTAGCGGCGGCGGCAGCAGCAGCAGTAGCAGCGGCAGCGGTTTTGCAGCAGCAGTCCTTGGTACGCAGCATCCAGGAAGAATCTACGCCGGACACTTGAGTAAATCTTCAAATCGGGTGCACCCTTCAACACTGGTACAACCCCCGTGGGGCACCTCAAAGGATTCATGCAGGAATTTTTTTTTTGGCGTTCCCCGCACAGAAATTTCAAATAAATAGGTCAAAGATACGTATGCATACGTGCGTGTTGTGTGTGTGTTTTCTGGGTGTACGGTCCATGGGCACGTGAGATGGGCTGGTATGTGTGCCTTTTCACGATTTTTGCCGCGCACCGCTGTTTAGCACCTTAGGTACGATTACGTTACAACGGCTGTATGGAGTGTGTGGTGTACCACAAAACACGGCCGCGTACATATATACATACGTAGGACGTTGTTGGTGGTTGCTGTAGTGAGCCGTTGTTTACACGCCGGTCTCTATTAGATTCAGCAGCAGGAACTGGTCAGGATGTGGGCACATCATGAATACTTCGCTTTTCGGGCTAAGTCGCGGCCCTACCCAGCTCTTGCTATTTCTCTGTAAGATGGTACGATCAACATCCCTCTCTCTCTCTTCACCCCGAATGTCTTCGTGCTTCTACTTGCTGCTGCGCGCAATAACCCGTACCTCGTTTTCACGTGGACGACCGACGCCCAACACCACGACGGTCTATCCACACCTTCGTGTGTGCGAATAAAAAAAAAATCTGCATAATAGAAGAAGAAGCCTTCGGCGACCTTCCTGAAAGGCTCCGTGGGATCTTTCTCGAGGGGGGGGTTGATGGTGACCCACGAGGGGCGAGTGATCTACAAGGTCAATCAGGACAGGGGGCTCATCTCGCACCCTTCCCTCAACAGGGCGAAACACACCGTCTTTGGTGTGTTCGACGGTGAGTGTTTTTTCGCACCGTCGCTGAGGTTGTTTTTTTTACGTGGTACGCTTAATCTGAACCCCTTTGGTTCTTCGTCGACGCCAATGAGAATACCCTTTCTCTGTTTCGAGCAAAGGGTCCCTGAAGTGGTGAATAACCGTTCACCAACGGAGGTAAAATCGCCTTTCTTGTAATGTGGCGAGGAAGTGCCAAGCGTAGCCAAGAGTCTGGCCTTAGCTATCTAGTTCAAGAAAGGTGGAATGTGTGAGAGTGAGGAGCGTGGGGCGCTTTCGCCGCCATCTCCCCATCTCCGAGAGTCAATGAATAGTCACAGTATTCTGTGAATATTTCCTGGCAAATGTCTTGGACGGTAGAACATTGTTCATGTAGTCCGACGATCTTTGCCGGTCGCATGTGTATCATTACCTTGTATCCTGGTTTCCACATTGGGACGCACAGAAAAATCGGGGCTGAGAAATGATCACAACAAAGATTTCGAAACGAAAAAAACGCCGCGGATGGGACGATGATTGAAGGTCCCGGACCTGTGCACAAATATCCCCACTGAGCAGTGTAAAAGAAAAAAAAATCGCCCGCTGTTTCGGTGATCGACGGTCCCTGACCGGTGCACAATGCACAATGTTCCCACCTGAGCCGTTTCTGGTCTAAAGACCCTATCAAATGTACCCAACACTATCAAATGCCCCCCTATCAGCCTATCAAACATTTGGTAGGGCTTTACAGAAACAACCGGCAGGAGCGTGGTACATTGACGAAGCACAGAAAGGAGGTTTTCAAGATATTCTTCTAGGGAGAAAGCGATACCTCGACGTTCAAAGCTCCACGATGCCCGGTTGCCCATTTTGTCGGTGGGTGAGGTGTGTTTGTTCGAGCTAGGCCCCTGTAGCGCTGTCTGCCCAGGGACAGATTGACGCGGTGTAACTTCACCGTTGAACCAGCAGGGCTGCAGGAAGCACCTGCCGCACATGGTCAAATCGTCGCGAGGTCCTTTTCCGCTTCCACTCCCCCCCGTCCAACGCCACAAAAGCCCATGGCGCTCAACGCCTATCCCGGCACTCCCCTTGTCGAGGAGTCCATAGGCGGAGATAGCCATGCAATCCTTCGCCAGATGAAGGAGGCCTACGACCGTACCGCTAAACGTGCCAGAGAGTTTTCGTTCGATGACGCCGGTGCGGTCGGTACGGGCTCATGCGCTAACGACAACCCACCAGGAGCTCCACCAACAGGATTGA